ATACCGTGTGTACAGAAAACGATAGTCACAAATTTGAATAACAGCAAACTCGATGGTGATAAAATAAATTTTCTTTTTTATATAAATAACGAAACAGTTGACATTCGATCATACGTGTTGAAATTATACTACTCCCTGCAAGATTATGACCTTTCTTAAACTATTGTCGACATCAGGTCATCATACATTAACTCATTTTTGAGCAATTCAAACTCCTGTTTAACTGGTAAGGGCGAGCAACGTTTGGAGAATCCATTAATGTTTGTTTCTTTTAAATATTACCATATCGTATTAACGAGTTCTTTTATACTGGGCATAGTACAAAATGTCAGACACGGAAATGGCTATACACATAACAATGCGATTTTCTACGATTGGGAAGATTCTAACGTATTTTTAAGTAACCCTTGAATTATGCGAGTCGAAAAATCCCGAGTGCCGCCGCAGTTGGATCATTGAATCGACCACCAATATCTTCACGGAACCTGTAAAATTCGTTTCATGATATATAAGATTACACCAATCGAAAATTCCTTGTCCGCCTGTTCGAGTTATGTGCGAAAACCGGTATTGCACAAACTCTACTATACTAATGAATCATCAATAGTTTTGCACCAAAGCTAACGAAAAATCGTTGGGAAAAAAATTGCTTGTTTGCCCTAGTCACACATTATACGATAATGCGAAAAATAAAGTTTCCTTTCAAAGTGAAAAGACTTTCTTGTCATGCATCGACGTATACCAACGGGTCCCTGTTCACAAAGAAAGCGTTTCGGCTTTAATCATGTCTTTGTTGCCGTATAAATAGTGACACGAATGTGCTACATTCCACGTGTCAAATTGTTAAAAAAAAAACTGGAGATGCCGGGTATCGATCCCGGTACCTCTCGCATGCTAAGCGAGCGCTCTACCATTTGAGCTACACCCCCAACCTTTAGTTAGCCGTTCATAAATTTTTATATAACCGAATCAAAAAGTCATTAATTATCGAAAGAATCAAGGCGTCTAATTCCCGACTGGGACAATGCACACAAGACATTGAGAGAGGTGCAGTAATTAATATATTATACAGGGCACTTGACACTTAAAGAGTACAATCAGACAATTTTGTTGTAATATGACGACATTTACACACGTGGGATACGCGATTACGACAAAGAGGCTGATTAGCTCGTTATTAAAGACATAGCTCACTGAACTTCTCGTTAGTGAAGGAATTTGGATATACTAGAATGTTCATGATATAATATAAATAAGATTTTTAAAGACGGCTCTTTGTTCACATTATCTTAATAGACATGACTATGATGCTTTCTGCCGGACTACTTAAAGAGCTGGACTTTGGAAAACATGAATTGATATCGTTTTGTCAACAAAAGGGGTTGCTTATTGTTTGTTTGATTCGTCAACAACAACGCTTATACTGCAAGCTTACTCCGGCGATAACTAATCATTGTTCTCTGCTTTGACCCCTTTTAGCGGAAGATACCAATATCATTCATGTCTCTCGTATCTCTTTTTTCATCTATCATAGTAACATTACAACATTCTTCTCTCTCAATTTACTTTGTTTGTTTGCTCAGACGATATTCAGTATATTTCCAAAACAAACTGTATTATTTGCAGACATTTCGAAGGCTACTGTGCTATGATTAAATAGATTATTGAACGGCCTATAATTTTACATGGAAATAAGATAACGAAACGCAATACGAACAATAGTGTTTATCTTTTTTCAATACGAACAAAGCGTAAATAAAAATGTGCTATACACAACTAATGACAGAGGGGGCAAGCAAGCAAGCAACAATAAAACAGATGACTTATTAGTTGCTACGTATAAGGAAACGAGTGTTTGCTTCGCTTGCCGCTTCACCGCAGTAATAAACAAAGCTTTGGTCATCAATTTTTACTGGACAGAAAAGGTGCTACTGCCTCTTAGTATAACCAAATACATAATGCATTTTGTTTACCATCCTCAAACCTTGCGAGCATATCGTATCCAATTGAAAGGGATTATCCAGTCGGTTCAAAAGTTCATTGACATTGATCGAACATGGGACCAAACAATTCGGTCAAAACAATAAACGCTATAGCCCGCCATTGAGGATCGCATCAATAGCCTAATAGTTGTCTCCCATACCAGAATGATCGATCATAGACAGCGACATCTTCCAATCGTATTATATTAATAATGCCAAATACATAGTATTTGCTTTAACCAATTGTAAGCGCACAATCAGAATTATTTGCTAATAACTTTGTCGATTACTTGCTGATTATTGACGTAAAAAGATCAAGCCCTAAACCTATAAAGTTACCGAATCCATGTCGTAATCAATGATTGTAACCATGATTAACTCTGATGATGAAATGATTGTATGTTGGTGACATGGCTACAAAGAAGGTTAGCTCGATACCTTACTTGCCGTTATCTCGAGAACTGATTGATTGACTGTCGAAATTACTTTGAATTGCCCCCGTTACTTAAAAGAACATGGTAATACACACGTGAAACTAAAATTAGCAGAACATGACACAATTATGTTATTTCCTCTATTGTCAGCATCGGGCATGAAAAGCTCCATCTTGCAGGAAAAATAATCACCGCCCCCTTCCCCTAACCAGGCTTATTTTAGCCAACATGCTTAAAATAAATTTAAGTTTGCTACGATAGATTTGCAATGTTACACCAAGAATCTTTGTCGGACAAAGAGTGAACGTGACAAGCACCGATATCTAGATAATATCAAAGAGCACTCTTTTTTTTTTATTGTTTTTCCGCTAAACGCTGGCTGGCTTCCACGTCTCAGTTGCTCTGACGGGTTGCACTTTCGGACTAGTAAAGCGTGGGATATTTCCGTCTCCCTAATTTTTAATTTGAATCGGTATCATCAGAAATGCACAACGGTCATTAAATGTAGTGCAAAGTAATAAAATTGGTTAGATTAAAAAGGACATGTCCTTAATAGTAGCAACTCAAACGTTAGTTGTCTTATTCAGAACTGTAACTGTTAATTGATCGGATATGAAGTGTGTATTAAAACTGTTCTCTTACACGAGCGAGTGAAATATAAGAAAAAAATTAAAAATTTCTTATAGTAATTACAATGGGATAGATGCAAAAACGAGGTTCGGGTCCGTCTTACAGTATGAAGATTACAAAGTTATCTGAGAAGCGAACGTTTATCTTGTTGCAATTTAATATGTTCAAAAACTGTTAGCTTCAGATTACGTCGATAGACACAATTTGAAATTTTATTATTTTTGTTTATCAAGTCACACATAGGGTTTCTGATACACATTGACCGACAATCCACAATATTATTGAAACAAGCAATTTCAATTGTTTGAGAAATGTACACTTTAATGGCTTTTCGGTAACGGTTGGTTAATTTCAGTAGGTTCAGAATACGAAACGTTCTTTATTCGGGTAAGAATATGTCCAAATGCTTGATTGCGTTAATACAAAACAGTAACCACCACAGTATAGACTAGTGCACAAATTTCACTATGGGGCGCAGAATATCTTAATGGGCTTTTAGACAAAGCATTTTCTCTTAACGTAAATCGCCGATGAGTTGAAGTTAACTGATCGAAATTAAAATGATCTTAATCAGCAATACATGTTTACAAAGCATTGTTTACGTAAAAGCTTGAACTGGTTATTGTCAATAATTGAGGAAACCAGCTATAACCCTTGTTTACGGTCCCAACTTATTCGTTATAATTGTTAATTTCCTCCCCCACTGACTATGACCCGGATTTTTTATAAATAAAATTTGTCCAATTAAAACGTTTTTCAGTAATCTCGTATGCACCGTAAATCCAAGCTAGTTTTATTAGTAAACCTCAATGGTGTAAAAGGATTGCGGGGGTTATTTGGCGATGTGTATAATACGGTTGGCATAACTAGCTGCAGCACGCATGTGTGTATCTCGGAAATAAAGTCTCACACTAATGATGATGCGGTTGGCTTCATCCTTTACATTCGACTTTGCTACACGAATTATGCCTTGACGAATTGTAAACCGTCCCACTGTTAAGCGATACCGGAGGAAAAGCGTGGATTGTGTGATTGCGTGGAACAACGGAATTGAAAGTGAGTAACCATCAAACAAGACATTTATTGTTTGCGCAGTGATCTTTGTAGGTGAGAATTTTAATGAAAAGCTGCCAAGCGTAAACTTTAGCCACATTCTCGGTACGACAGTGCAATGTCGAGCTTCACAATTAGACTTTCATAATACCTAATTAAATTGTTGAGTTGGATCAGACTTGTCAATGTTAACTTTTCCTCGTAATAGCACTTTATGTTATAGAGTCTCTGAAATTCTGCACCACCCCCATTGATAGTCAAGTTTCGGTGACAGCATATTATTGTTCATTGAGTAGCAATAATAGACAAATCTGAAAACTTTTTATTCTGTGAATGGAACAGACTAACGCAATTTAAGCTAATAGTGACAATGACTTTTTGCATCAACTAAAAACACGAGGCACATACTCAAATAGTCGTAAAATAAGAGTGTTTGCGTATCAATTGTCATCGATTGGGTATAAAAATACTTTTGTAGTAGTAAGATCTTATTGACCCGAGTCTTTGCATCATTTATGAAAGTAGAAATTACGTATACAGAATGGCGTCGTCATCGTCGTTAATTATATGAAAAGAAATGGTAAAACCAGCCTATTATTGAAAAAAGAAATCTCGAAATCAAACCTGTATGCTTTGGGAGTTGTCACACCATCATTATGGTTGTACTATCAATATCATGGCGTTTTATCTAAACTAATCCGGTTTTATGCAGTCGCTCGGACCAAATTTGTGTGTATTTCAATATGGGCTTTTATATCATAACTAATTCCCCAGGCCAATTGCGTATAAATTGATAAATAAACCCATCAATTGCTTACGTAACACTGCTCACATGACAAAATCGGGCGAAAGTTCTTTCCCGTCTTTTTGTTTTCTTCGAAAGATCTAGGACACCTGCAACATGGTCTGCAAAAAATGTAAGTCATTCAGATCGTCGTTCTCTCGCCTTTAGTTGGCGGTAAGCAAATGTTTGGATAAAAGTGAATAACATACGCTTGCTTAACAGGTGAGAAGAAGCTCGGCAAAGTCATATGTCCGGATAAGTGGAAAGAAGGCTCGAGGAACGTCGCCGGTACGGCATATTTCGATCCTTTTATACTATGCCAAACTGTTTGCATCTATATAGTTGACATGTATAAATGCTTTGCACAAGTTAATATTGTTGTATAGCTACTTACTAGTGCAATGTGATGTCACTGCTTGTAGTTGGTACGGATAGAAAACTGCGCGAAAATAAGCTACTATCTAAACCAAAGAACAGGTAAATTACTAAAGCTATTTGCTTGATTCTCTGAACAAGAGTTTGCTAAACGTTGAATTATTATTGCAATTTGGTAGATTCAAACCATACGAGAATAAATGCAAGATCTGTAAATCTCGAGTGCATCAAGAACATGCCCATTACTGCCAAGGTATGTGGACGTCAGTGATAAAGCGGTGGAATCAACAGAGATGGTGAACTACGTCATGATTATCAGTGTTAATGTGTATGGGGGTTGCTCTCTCTCTTTTCATTCTTGTTCTTAGGTTGTGCGTATAAACAGGGCATATGTGCGATGTGTGGAAAGCAGATTCTGGATGTCTCGATGTACAAACAAAGTGCAAAATGAAATATAACCGTTATGTGCATTCTCTTCCATTTATCTTTCATAGTATCTCTACAAATTTTGTCCTTGGCAATAGAGCGACTGTTCGGTAACTGATCGCGGGATAAAATAGAAGTTGGCAGTAGGCCTTGCAATGATTACGGATTGGAAAGATAGCGGGAATTTGATTTGAATAGTCTAATAATAGAATTATGAGTATTAATAGATGACGTTGAAAAATACATCCGAACTAAATTAATAAAGCCTTATAATGTAATATTTTAATAAATTTATTTGCTGTGCTTTGATGAGCAGACTATGGTGTTGCACAATTTTTACCATTGTCGGAGGTGATGTATTAAAAGACTAACTATTGCGATAGCATGTGCCGAGGATGTTTTCGTTAATCAAGAATGATCGAATACCCGTCTATGCTGACGAGGAATCGGACGCGATGGGCGATGTCGGATTTCCATATGTAGTACAAGGATAGATTCACCTGATCTTTACCATATATTGCAATACTCACATGATGCGGAAATAAACAAAATATTTCATTTGTTCGTTTATGCTGACATCACTATTGATGTTACCTATCATTTACCTATAAATACACCCATTCCTCAGCGTTGGCCATTTACTGACTCCTCACCACTTTCATCGGTAGAGAGAACTTTTACCAAGTGAATATCAGATTAAATATTATTTGGCGAATAACATTGTACTACGGTTGGATCTTAGCATCGTAGAGAGTGTGTGGAGTAGTAGAGTAAAGTGAGTGGCCTTGGAAGTAAGAACACTACATACATGGTCAAAATGGCTCGTATGACGCTGTATAAACTCGATGAGTTGGATGAGCCAAAGGTGTATGAAAATGTATGTATATTGATACATTAAGTTATGAACGAATTTCTTAGTTACTCAAATTTTGCTTAGTCAAACTGACCGTAAATTTTTATGAATCTAGGAAATGCATGAGGCATATATTTCGTATGATAATTTACTTAAAAGGGGCAATACAGAAGTTGATGTGCAGAATGCTTTACTTGATAAGGTAAGTTGTGAACGGGATACAAATATTTCATTGGTGTGTACTGAGAATGTCTGGAACAGAGTTTTACTTTTATGTGCCATAGGAAATTGGGAAAAAAGGGGGGCCAGTCAAAAAGACAAGTCAAATTTATCGAAAGTATTCGAACAAACGTAATACAAAAGTATCGGTTAGATAGCAATAAATATCTTACTTGTGAATAGCTTAGTAGTAGTAGCGAACAACGCACAAAAAAAATTTTTTTTATTCAGTCAAATTACTGACTCACCAACACAGGCAATTTTATTGACTCCTACTAATATAATGCATTATCTAACATCGCTGACGGGCAACAGAGATCAGATGACAAGAAATACAAAGAAACAATGTATGGAATTTTATTTGCCATACTAACTGGAAAAGACAGCACACCAGTAAGCATAACTTAATTTAATGTTTGCATATCAAAGAATTAACCGCATTCAATAATTATAACCATGACATCATACATGTTCAACAGCATTTCAATCGCATGTGCGTGTGCGTGCGAGATCAATTCGGAGTAATTGTGGACAGACTGCGGGCGCTAATGGAAGCGGCTGACTTTCACAGACTGCGTCAGCCGATTGTAATCAAGGTTAGTGACACACTCTAGCGATTTGTTATTTATTACATCTATCTATACTCACATGAACGTTCTATTGGGGGCGTATAGATGCTACAATTAATCGAAAAACTGATTGAAATGGACGCAAAAGAAATAGACAAGTTGGTGGAAATAGCATTGCGGCAAGCAGCAGGTGCGACATATGACTCATGTTGCAGATTCAACCCTAATTTTAAAATTCGATCCTCATGAATTCATTACTATTTATATTTTGTGCATCAGGCAGTAATACAACACAAGCGAATATAGAATATTGCGACACGTTACTAGGGATGCTGGAGAGAAATCGCATGTAAGCGTTAATTTTTATCAAGTATTCACGACTTTAATACCGATGTTTTATTAACTTTTTTTTTTCTCTACAAGTAAATATTTATATAAGAGAGGAAAGATGCTGAGACTATCCTTGTATACCTATCTTCGGTTGATACGCGATCATCTTGATGAAAGTTTTGATGACTTGCGCCGGAGAGAAATCAACTTTTGCATCAGACTCATGAGAGATCAGGTAAATACGATATGTGAAAAGAGTTTTTGGCACCGTCGTTAAATTCTCGAGTATAACTAATATACGGAATATTTTATTACAGTTTCATCATTGCAAGTTGATAGGAAGAGATCTTGTAAGACTGTTAATTGATGTGGCATCAATAACCGAATTCAGAGACTTTTGGAGAGATTTACTTTATAATCCACAAATACTAGACGAAAGATTTGATGGTAAGAAATCATGTCAATTAGAACACAATTATGGTTCCAATACTAACTCCACTTCGGTTAAAATATTTGCTTACTGTTTTGTGGTCATATTCAACTATGAATTAATCAAACCAGGTTTAAAGACATTAGTACGAATGCCTACGCAATCGGTATATCTGACAAACCGAATCTCTCCCCACCTGGAAAGATTACTTACTGCCATCTTTAAACAAGTATGCCGCGAGATTGCTGTTTATAATTAAACGTTTTTCTTTTTCATATTGCCTGAGACTTGTTGCTTGTCACCAAATCGTGTCACTAACTCTTGGCCAATTAACTAGGACTCGTATTCAGGTTATAGACGACGCTGGCAATGGCTACGAGACAAATATTTCAGCAGACCAGGTTCACAATATCTCGCAGTAGACATAATACGCTACATTGTCTGCGTCATTCATCCCACAAACGAAATGCTGCGATCTAATCTAGTCAAACGATACCAGATTATTGCAGAACTAATTTCCATCACTTCGGACGAAATTATACGTCCAAGCGCTTTGCTCGCCTTATTCTATGACTGGTTATTCTGGAAAGCGCAAGACAACATTATGAATATCGAACCGGCCATATTGTTAATTATGGAAACGTTCGAAAGCAGGAATTGGCAATACTGTCAGATGTTGATTGAGTTTTTGAGATATGAAGCATATGGTTTTTGTAAACCGTTGAGTGAGGATATCAAGAAAAGTGTGGATGCTGCTATGGAGACTGTGTTGACGCAACGAGTAATATTGTAAGTGTATATAAAATGAGGAGCTTTTGGGAACTTTTGAACTTTGCATGCTGTTTTTACTGACTTTTATGTTTGATTGAAAAAGCGATCGAGGTTTGATAGATTTGGTAAACTCGCCACAAATAAACTGGGCAACGCGTTCTTACGTATCGGACTTGTGGGGAAGGTTCATAAAAAACTCTGTGCCGCTAGTAACTCAAATGTCACAGCCGATGAATGCTACACCATCGTTTCCAATGCAGACAACTACGAATAATGCTATTCCCGCTTCTAATACGCCTACCCCTTCTCCTGCCCCTTCTCCTACCCCTTCGACCGCCTCTTCGATTGCTTCTTCGATTACCTCTTCGACTGCCTCTTCGATTACCTCTTCGACTGTCTCTTCGATTACCTCATCGACTGCCCCTTCGACTACGCCTTCCACAGGCACGTCTAATACCCCTTCCAAAGCCGCATCCAATATTTCTTCTAATACTCTCAATACCCCTTCCAGTGCCCTCCCCGCTGTCCCTCCTCCATCTACTTTTTCTTCCACTCCCATCACCAACTCCGCCACACCCGTTCCCACCAATAATTCCACCCCTACCCCCGCTTCGACGCTACCTTCTACTCCGGCACCTGGTTCCACGCTTAATTCTGCGACAGGTTCTACAACTGGTCTCGTAACCGGTGTCGGATTTCATCTTGCGAAAATGGTTGTTTCTCCTGCCACTCCATCCTCTCCTGTGCCCATGGACGTGGATGGTGATCCACCAAAATCCTACACTAATTCAACATCGGTAACAAAGTCGAGTAAAATTGTCAAAAAGGTGAATAACGGCACGTCACTGTCTTCTTCAATTGTTCCACCGGCGGAGAAAACGTCAAAGGATGCGTCTTTATGGATATATGGAAAGAATCTGGAGCAATTTAGAGATGCCACTTCTTTATCCGTGCAAAAGAGTATACTTCCTATAATATTGGATACTTTTGAAAAACATATGGTGGTATGATATTAGATGAACATCTTTGATTATATTTTTTGTGCATTGATTTTTGTGTCGTCATGTCGTCAGTTAACTTTATCTACGTTCTGTCTGTAGGAGGACGCACCAAAAAAGATTTCCGGTTACATAGTCCCAGCAATAAGAGAATCAATGACAAAGTCAGATCTATTTACTGCAGTAATGGATAAACTATGGTCATTGGACAGTGAATCGTCAAAGAGCAAGATGTTGGAACTGCTAAGGTTGATTGGGGATGTGGATAATGGGCATGCATTAGTCAGTTTCCAAGTGTTACTGTCTTGCTTGAGGTATAATTTATTTCATGACGTTGCTGTTGGTGCTTGTTTATTTATTTGACGTTTATTTTAATATATTTAATGTTTTTGTTTAATCTCAGAAAAGCACAGGAAGAAAGTAAAGATGCCTTTTTTGATGCACCAAATCTCAAGGTTTATAAAGACCTCATAAATTATCAACTAGAAATGAGTAATGGATACGAGGATCTGAAATTTGTAAAGAAGCAACGCGTTCACGAAGACTTTATAGTATGTATTCGCAGTGTGCACTCTTGTTTATATTGGCCAAAGTTAACCATCAGACTGTCTTGTGTTTTTACTCTAGTCATTACACAAAAGCAATATTATGCTGTTTCAACGTGCTACCTTTACGATAATGGAATATCTACGCGAATACTGTATGGGTGAAGTAACGTTCGTTCTCTTACTGGTGTCAAAGATCACACCGATATTGGTATGATGATTTACTGAAAGCTTTCGATGAGGAATTTTAGAGTTGCTGTCTGGTATTAACCTTGTTTTCATCAAAACAGTCATATGAACTTCAGATCAAGTTGGCAAGAAATCAATGTGTAATATTTGGTGATAAATATGACGAAATACTAGGTATGTTTACAAGCCATCGCACTGGTTGACACATTATATCAATTCACCAACATTGTTAATGTTTCTGCCTATCAAGTGTTTGCACTGGACTGGGATCCAATTGAACAATACGTGCTGTTTCAAATACTCAATGCGGAAGTTGGGGGCCGTGTGGATCGGGTTGAAAAGATGCTAACCACATCCTCAATACTAAGAGCACTTGATAGATCAGGTAATTATATCAATATGTTACTGTCTAATTAAACTTGTAATTTAATTAACGAACGTTTTTTTCACACTCCATCATTCCATCAGAGAATCCGGAACCTTTAATTGGTTTGCTAGACATTCTACGAACTGTTCCACCTACTAGTTTAATAATATCTTCAATAATGTATCTGATGTCGAATGCGAGTGACAGATTACAAAAGCAATGCAGTCTCGAGTTTGTCATAACGGCATTCCAGCAGTGGTATCGTAACTCACCAGAGACCATGAGGGCCGTGCTGACAAACTACATGAGGGAGTTGAGCGAGGGCATGAAGAATAATAATACCAAAGAATCCACCAAAGAGCATGCAGGAAATCTCTTGGACGTAATAATATCATGGTATAATGATTCCAAGGCAGAAATTACTGGTGAGGATTTCGTAAGACCGTCATTGTAATAATTTTTACAATGTACGTTATCTAACACTGTAAACGTTTACTATTTGTAGAAAACTTTTTAAAGAACGACGAGTTTTATAGTTCCATCAAACGTATAACCCAACTTTTGGGTAAGCAGTTACTTACTGACTGGCTTACGATACGTACCCCGGAAACCAACACGGAAGCCGAAGACGGTAAATAATTGTCTGGTGTCATGTGATAGTGACATACAGCTTGTTGGTTGCAATCATTGTTGGTTGCAATCATTGTCAATAGTCATGGTCGTCACCAAGTTTTCACCAACTCTTTTCACTATGAATTATAGGTACAGAGTCACACGACGATGGAGATGAAGAGGAGGAGGAGGAAGAAGAGATAAAAACCAATCGACGAAAACGTATTCGGCAGCCAACCATGAGGAGAAGAGAACAACCTCCGCGTAAGAAAAAATTCAATCAGTCGCTCAGAGAGGGAATAAATAATCACGTATCTAATGATGAGGAAGACGAGGAAGATGACGATAAAGATAGTAAAGATGCATCGGAAGATGAAGAGGTGGAAGAGGGAGAGAAGGAAGAGCAGGATGGGGAAGAGAAGGAGGAACAGGATGAGGAAGGGGAAGAGGGCGAAGAGGAAGCAGAGTCGGAAGAAGAAGCCGAAAAACCAATGGCCAAGTATTCCAGAATATCTAGGAGACGACCATTGAGAAATCAAAAGGCATTGCAGAGAGCAAGTCGGTACCGAAAAGGTCATTGATTCTAATTGTTTATATTATGGTTTTAGTATAGTATAGATTTGTTTGGCAAAAAAAAAAAGGTTTGAATTTTTGGTTGTAAATAAATTAATTGGATTAATAGATGTAGATAATGCTGTAGATATAATACAATAAAATCAATGTCTTTTTCAATGGAAGTAAACAGATTTATGTGGCTAGTTAATTCAAACAAGTTTGTCTATTACTATTAAATTTTAATTCATTTCGCAAAGACTTGACACGTCTTTACCCGCGACATCAACCAATAATAAAGGTGGTGATTTTTTAAATAAAAACGTGGCGTTTGCAAATGTATGTTAAACAGGTGGCATTTATGACATAGGCTTATATCAGTGTACCAAGTCGGACATGTGAGGCTATGCCCCATGGGGGAAACTTGTTATATTTGTCGTTAAAATATTCACTACATTATTGCAATCGGATCAGACATCATAAAGAGTATGGGTTACGACACAGCTGACATCATAATTATTCTAACGGCAGGGGGCGCTGGTAAAAAGTATGTTGGCCACAAGAACCGCTTTGCCGGATTAAGGGGGCCAGCCGGCTGAGCCTGCTTAGTATTAACAAAGTTGGCAGATTTTTGATTGGCACGTTGGACGGGGCGGGGGGAAAGGGGGGCTAAGACCGTAGCGATGTATTTTAAATTATCAAAAATTTGGGTCACCCGATATTTCAACGCCTTAAATTATGCCTGCATGTAATTTATCCCTTAATTTAATTACAATCATTATGATACAGGAACGGGCTTTAATGTTTGATCGTAATGATTGGGAAAAAAAAAAGATGTCTCGCTTTTTCCCAACAACCTATGTATGCATTGAGCGGAAGAAAAGAAACTCGACTCTGATGATGAACCAACTCTTTGGGTCATTTGATAGTATGGCAAAGCCTTATTAGTTATTCTGTTAATAAAGCTTATAAATATTACATGTAAACACGCATCCACGGAAAATATTATTAATAAAAACTCTCAGAGATTGATAACATGTTTATATTCTAATCGCATAGCTTATGTCCGCCGCGAAACAGTTATTCGGTAAAGCCCATTAATTCATTTTCCAAAGTGTGTGACACGGTTTCGGGCTATCACGAATGGCGGAAAAGCGTTAATTATTTGATCCTGTTATCAAAAGTTGGGCGTCCTCCTTTTGCGTTAAATCGTTTGTTTATTAATCGTTGACACCCTTGCGCGCCAATCAATGAATTTAACGGTCAAACTCGAAACATCTACCAAAGTTAACTGAGCTTTCACAATCTCACGGTATCCATTATCAACTTTCAACACGAATTTTGAATCACGAGTAACAGTAAAACTTTGCTCTCCCCCCCCCCCCCCCCGCTTTCACAATCTTTGTCAAGAAAAATACTTGGATCAAAAACTCTTTTACTTGGTACTTTTAATTTTTTTTTTGTTTCAAGCAGTTCCTGAGCAAAAAAAAAATTGCGAGTGGATCTCGTGTGCATTTGCGATGCGCAAGTGTGCTCTGTATCATTTGATTGCTAAAACTCCCTATTCATATATCTCGATTTTCACTATATATATACAAACAAAAACAAAAGCAAGAAGAAAAGAAATAGAAAAGCATAAATGCGCTAGAATCCTCACAACTATTATAATAAGTAATAATATTACTATCATCACCATCGACTACGAAAACTAAAAGAATAAAAAACAAACACTACCTTTCAATAATTTTTTAAAGAAACCTTTTTTTTTGGTTGCAAATTCTCCCTTTTCCCATTTCTAAAAAAGCAATGAAAAATTTTTTTTGTGTCTAGGCGGAAATAAGGAGAAGAAAAAAATGCTAAATCAAAAAGAAAAAGACAAGGTCAATGACAACAATGACAACAACGACTACAACGACTACTAAAACACCGAAACACTGAACGCTGACAACCCTTCCCTTCGATTCATCTATAAATATAGTTCTCCAACAAAAGAAAAATTTGTCGGATTGATAAAATGGGATATATATGATAAATGGAGTTTCAAAAGTAAAAAAAAAAAAATACAAACTGAGAAAAAGTGACGCTGGATTTTACAAAATCCTCTTTTTTTTTTTTGTTTCTTCTTTCCCCAAAGAAATAACCACAAATTCTCAACGGTAAAAATATTTCATACATACAATACATACACACACACGTGTACCACTCTTTTTTACTGGATCGCAAAAATACCACCATCAACATCCCACTCTTCGTTCTCCTCGTTCAGAAAATGCCTCTTTTCATTCACGCCAGTAATAATCCCCGCTCCCTTATGCTGCTTCTGAGCCATAAACGAGGCCCACTTGTTCTTTGCTCGATCAATCTCCCCAACCGATAACGTGTTCTCCGAGTCTGATTGTATATTATTACTATCCTCAGCACCGTTGAGCGTTCGCACTAATCTCACAAACGCCCGACGTTCTTCATCGGTAATTGCCCAGAGGCTATCGTCATCTTCGTCGTAGGGTTTTTTCCAGCCTAGTTGGCGAAGGAAATCTTCTTCGCGTTCTAGGGAGGCGGATATTGGGAGCGAACCGGTGGTATTATTACATGTTGGATCGGTGACAGGCGAATGAGAGGGAATCGGTCTTGTGGTGCATGGTGTCTGTTCTTTCCGATCGTTTTCTTGTTCTTTTTGTGATGGTGTTGGGGACAGTTGCAGTGGTTGCGGAGTTTGTTTTCGGAGATTCTTGAGATCCAAACCCTCTTCGTCTTCTTCATCGTCGTCTTCCTCTTCTTCCTCCTCCTCTTCTTCCTCCTCCTCTTCTTCCTCGTTGACTTCTTCAATTTGATCATAGTCCATACTCATGCTACCATTCTCTTTACGATCACTTGACAAGCCTTCCTCGTACATTTTGAATAAACCAACTCTACCCATTTTTGCCGGATTACTCCATATCGAAGAATATTTCCCTCCGCTCCCGATAACACCATTGCCTAAACCGCCCAACTTTCGCGTGGAAAAGTTAAGCACGTTCATTTTCGTGGGAGACGTGGAAAGTTTTTTGATTCCATTCCCGGCAGCAGCAGACACTGCCCGCGGTCTGGTCGGTTGCTGGATGGCAATTGGCCTCGTTGGCGTAATCGTTGTGTTACTATTGTCCTTTACCTGCATCCGGAGAGTTTGAGGCATGTTTCGTGAGGTTGAAAGAGTCGAGTTACTACGAAAGACGATCGTTGGAGATGTGGTTGTACCACCTCCGACGCTGTCCATGGATAGGGACCGACTTGTCTTGCGTTTTGAACCTCGCTTTCCATCTAGCTTGATGGTGTCAACTTTGGGAACCAGGGACTTGAACCGTTCGATCTCCACCAGATTTTGATCGATGGCTCGGTTGTAAGACATGTCATCCTCTGATGTTGGAGTCAAAGCGGTCGGTGAAAGAAGTTTTGATTTCGCGTCCGAGTTGGCTAGTGGTAAAAAAATACGATTTAACGGTGAGTACGAGAAAAAAAATTGCATAGTTGGAATATCAAGTTTGCATGCTTACTGCTTACCCCATATGTTTTCTACATTTTTGGGTGGCAGATCTACAGACAATGATATCTTCCTCTTTGCAAGAGTTGGCTATAAGAAACGCATTTACAAATTAGTATTCCATGTACACGAAATCAATCAATCATTTTTCTTCTGTTCCGATCCACCACTTACGAAATTACGATCAAAGCTGCTTGGTGACGATGATATTGGCGCCGTGGCCTGCGAAGACGAGCGAGCGCGCCCATGTATTGTCCTTGTAGCCGACTGTAAACAATGTTACGATACACGTTATTATAAAGATGATTGAGAGTGGCGGAAAAAAACAACCTTTCCACCATACATACCTCGTTGTCACCTAATGCGACCATAGACACCCGACGAGATTTCGGGTGATCTCGTGATTTTGTACGTGGAGGAGAACGAGTTCTCTGAAAACCACTGCTCGTTTCTAAAGAACGGGGAAAAGAAATGAATAAACTTGCAAGATAAAAACTGACGGTTGACAACCCGATTACAAACACCTCTCTGCTGATATGTATTATTGATTAAACCTTTTCATCATCGACTCACCTTTATTAGAAGATGTATCCCTTTTTCCCAAGATAGCCGACTTTTTATCTTCCTTTTTAGAATCATTGGTCGATGCATACGCAGGACTCAAAACCGTCGACGCAGGCCCAGTCTTGTTGTTCAAATTAATCAACCAACTAGGTGCGAATATAAAAGATGAGGACGAAGTCGTTGCACGTCTTTGTCGATTCAATGGTTTTGGCACTGGTGTTTGGGGAGGTATCGATTTAGAGTTGTTGGAGGATTTAGTGTTCGTTGTTTGATTTGACGGCATTGTATATTGTAACGTCGTATGTGGTGGCATTTGGTTTGTAAAAAAAAATAAATCTTTTCCCTCTCTTTTTTTTCAATGATCGGTAGAAGTTAATTGCCAAGGCAAAAAGAGTAGTAGGACGACTATGAATTGGTGTTGTTATCGAGCAAGGTGGAATTCGTTACTGGTGGAAATCGCAAAAAATAACTCCGAGTGCAGGCTGCTAAAGAACACCGTGGGTAGGCGAACCAATAGACTTGGTATAATACGCCTACCGTCTGTGCTTATGATAATACTGGGACTGTGCTCTCGCTGTTGGTGTCTCTTGATATATGTGTTTCTAATGGGAAGCCCGATCTCTTTTCTAGTTTAAAGAATGAGAATGCAAATCAAAGTATCAAGTATCGGAACTTGCTATGCTTTTGCAAAAAAGTCGATATCGTTAATGCTATGATAGTTTCCAACAAAGACAGTAGTGTGGGGGAGTGGTTGAAAAGTGTGTGTATGTGTTTGTTTATGTGTGTATGAGTGTGTTTTCTTTGTAGACAAATAACCAGTACAGTTTCAAAAATGCGTTGAAGAAATGTAAATGTAGTTGAAGTTTTTGAGGTTTTCAAGGTTTTCAGTCCAAGTGCTGTGTATTTTTTTTTTTTTTTGCAAGTCGTAAAACTATGTAATCTATATAGTGTATACAAATGGTGTAAAGAGATTATGTGACAGTATTTGTAGAGGTGAGAGAGTCAGTGTTTATGTGAGGGCGGCGTTGTCGTTGTTGTTATATAAAAGAGTTTTAGAGGTGGGTTTTGGTTATTAAGTCCAATAAATATGTAATAAACCGAACTGACTTGAGAAAGAGACCTAGACCAGAGTTTTATATTATAGAGTAAAAAACACTAAACACTTAACAAATATCAGGAGTTAAACGTGATGAGGGGGGGTGGGGAAAGGGGAAGAAAAAAGATGGGGGGGAAGATTGAACTCTTTTTTGGATGTGAAAACTCGGTCAAAGTTTGTAATAGAAATCAACAAACAGACAGTTGAGATGGAGCGACAGGAGGAAAAAAAAAAAAGAAAAGCAAATAAATAAGCAAATAATGCTTTGCAAAGGAAAGGTGAGAATTATATACATGTAGTAATAAATGTATATGTATATGTATATGAAGTAATAAACAGTATAAATAGTTTTAATATGAAAATATATTACATGATACAATTACAACATTTGTTTATTTCATTTTATTTTTATTTGACTGTTAATAAATATGTATGTGTAATACATTAACATGCTATTACAACTACAGGTCACGCGGACAGAATTTGCTGCGTGATGTACTGATTATACAGGACAATATCGAGATCTCAATGACAAATATTTAGAATACATTTATAGATGTTAATGGTGATCTTCGGAATACGTATAATCGTATGATTATGAATCCTTTTTTTTTCCCCTCTTTTTTCCTCATCTTGAATCCCCCGGTTTTGTGTTTACTTGGTTGTGATTATCACACTCTTCTTGGGTTACCTTTTCGGAGAGTTATTCAGTACACAAAAAGAATACTGCATGGAATATTCGTACCATATATAAAATGCATTAGCATTAGTCATTTTATTGTTGTTTTTGATTATAATTTTCTGATTTCCACATTTTGCATACCAAGGGCAGGGCATCTACGCACATACCGCAGACAACGAGTCAAAAAAAGCTCGCATCATCACACACAATTGAATCACGCAATAATAATCGTCATGTCCTTTGAACGGGGTTTTTAGGGGTGAGTGGCGTAGTGGTTATGAGGTCAAGTGTCTATGTGGTGTTCTCTCTTATAAACAAAAGGGGGAGAAAAGTAAACTATCGGTTCTCTGCAGTTAGCATCTGCGTGACTGACCATGTGATAATTCTCATATAGGAAATGAGATAAACGTCTCATTTTTAAATGTATTAAACTTTAAGGTATATAACAATGTCTCTCCACAAGGGAAAAAATCAAAAATAATGGTAATGATAAATAATAATAATATAATAATAATAATAATAACATTCATTGAAAAGTGACTAGTCTACGACATGTGCACATTTGATAGGAAAAAATCTCTTCCCGAGTCAGTTTCTCAAAGACGCTTATTTAATACACACTTGTATAATGACTATGTTTATTCTTCTGTTGACCTAACACAACTACAAAAAGTCTCTTTCCCCCCTTTCCCCGAGTCAGTTCCTGATACAAACACTCTCTGTGCTACCAAAAATGGTTACTTACCTTGGCGCCCAACGAAGAAATCTCGAGCACTTGTTCTCTGTCTATTTATTTGTTCCCACCTCCTAGATACTGACCCCCTCCCCATAGATACTGACCCCCCATAGATACTGACTTCACTCACCATCTGTCGTCTCGTGCGACCCTACACATTCGACCGCAATTAAAGTTTGCCTGAATTTTTAAAGCGAAAAACCAGTAAAATGACCACAAACACATTTTAGGTATCAAAATTTTTAAAACACTCGCAATTGTACTACCCAATATATAACGTAATCATTATATTTGTTTTCTGGCTAAAAATATACGTATTTCATTTACGTCCGTCAGAAACACACAAGTGAACATTCCACTTGATATGTCATGTGAAGAAGCAAAAATGGAATTGGCAATGTATTTTGCCTGACCCCCCATTCAAGGTGAATGCCGGCCATTTGATTAGTCTTTCCCAACTTGAATTATCATACGATGACGGGTCAACGGCAGGTTTTGCGATAAAAGTTTACGCGCATGTGTCATCGTTCGAGACGGATTCATAACGACTGACATTATTACCGAAAGTAAAGGAACAATATTAACTATCCCAAGACTATTATTATTGATACTGCATATTGTTAACATGATGAGTTACTATTTGTCTCTATTTAAATAAACAATCTAGTTTCGCGGCCAATTAATTATGCGTGTCAATGTCGACACGAAATGTCATGCTATTTGTAAACTACACTTACCCATGATACCTATTACGGTTTTTATGTTTGTCTGTATATGGCTAAGCAAAAACTATAGCAATCGAATATTACCATTTCTGACTCTTTTCTCGCAAACAATTGTTTTAGCAAAAAATCGATAACATAAATTGTATAAATTCTTACGAGTCATCGATCACTCAGACGCTTCTATATCCGTAATGCGGAATCGGGGGGTCGCACTTGGGAAATGGAAAATCTGACAACCTAAAACGCGAGTAAGGATGCATGTGATAGAGTCTGTTTACAGTAATTGAACAACTTATTGCGTTTTTTGGAGTATCTTACAGCGCGGGCGTGCATTTATGCCAAGCCCACCTGTCTCCAAGACGGATCAACTTAACATTCTTAGCCTATATGTTATTTCTGACTCCACAATGTAACACACCCATCAAAACGAGGATATTAGTTCCGAATGTCTCGTTGTATCGGTAAAAGGATTATGAGTATTTCAATATGAGACAGTTATACCACCTTTTTTAAATTCCTCGCCGTGTACTTTTTTTTAAATTCCTCATCTGGTAGAGTGTAATCTAACCAAAAAAATCAGTTTTCACATTGTTTGCATTATTTTCTATTACCCGATCGGGTTTGTGGATTCTTTTAGATTATCTTATTAAAACCGTATTCAGATACTTAGCGCACGGACACAGTCAGGTAAAACTAGTCACTACGCTTCCAAAGTATTTATGGATAGATTGTATTGTTTCCCACCCTGATGGACTAGGACTGTATCATTTCAAATACCTTTTCTTGATGCTTGTCCAAGATTACGTAAGCAATATCATGGAACTACAAGTCACTTATAAGTGTAGAATTACCGTTTACAATCAAACCTTAATTTAGTAATGAAGGTTTTTTACCAAGAAATTTACTAGATAGAAAATTTCAATATAGTAAAGCTCATATGTAAGTGGCATAAATCTTCACAATATCGCGACCGGCCAGTCTTATAGTACACGTAGTTTAAGATCTCTTGATTCGGTCAATTTATTAAAGAAAGGTGAAAAAAGACGTAACATTGACAATTATTTCAAGTAGTTTTTCAATGCTCACTCGCTAAGTTGATATTATTTCACCTGTGATTGTTGATGATGCTGCAACAGCTCAAGACATCCAAAGAGCAACAGCCTCTTCTAACAGATAATGCTTTCCAGTTTTTTATCACTTTATGACAGCCGTATTAGTATTAGTATTTAGTATTAGATCAGGTGATAACCATCTTACCTTATTATTATCACGCACAATCTTTGAAACAGTTACCTCGGAAATATCGAATTGCTTCTCTATTGTAACCTGGGTAATAGTAACGCCTTGCTTTTTTAAACGACATATATTTCAGCCTGACAAACTTCTTTTTAGCTTCATGCTGCTAAAATTTCACTGTTAAAATTCTTCACTTATAATGCTTTATTCAACACGTGTTTGTATTATGATTGGTCGAAATCCCATAAAGTAGTACAATCGAGAGGCTGCTATTGTTTGAGAAAAAAACTTGCCTGTATCTAATAACGGGACTTACTATATAACTTATTATGATTTATTCGTTTGTGTTTATTTTTTATTTTTATCAAAATAATACTGGTTTTGTATCAGAGAAATCCTTGACTATAATGCGAAATTACTGGATCGAGACTTTATTACATCGAGATTTGACTGTATACTACTCTTGCTAGCTTTTAATAATTAATATAACCGTTTTCTTAGAAATAAATTTTTTAGTAAACATTAAAAATATGCAGTATAATATAGATCATAGGCTAAAATTCCCTTGCGCGTAGTCTACTCCTGTACAATATAATTAGATGCACACATAATTAATTTATATTATTTACCTACGATACTACACGTGGCCATTTTAAGATGCAAAGTCGAACAAGTTGCCGATAAACTTTGAGTTCCATAACAGTAGATGTAATGTAGGCTTACTTGACAAGAGTATTGTGCCATTTGTCAGTAAAGACTTATTACGTTCAAAAGCTTTACTTTTTATGCGACCAACAATAGATGTAATATTACTTTGAAATTGATTGATTATATTTAT